GTACCTCTTCATTATAGGTAATTTTTCAGTTTTCAGTGCTGTGATAGTTTGACTGATAATTGCTTGGTCATGCAAAACTCTACCCAAATACATTTTATATAATTTTTTTAGACAGATATAGCTTTAATTTTCTGGTAAATGCTTTTTATTTCTAACTGTATAAAGGGAAAAAGATCAAACATTTGGGTTTTCTTACATTTACCTGGTATATCCACAATATTGGTAGTCAATGGCACTTTACCACCTCCCCCACCCAAAAAAAAAGGACAACAATGCCGCAATCATTGATGGTCAGTGACACTATAAAACGCCTCCACCTTTCAAATACAAATCTCACATTCAATGATTGTCATTCGCACTTTACCCACCCCCCTCACTCCAAAAAAAAAGAAAAATCCCACAATTATTGATGGCCATTAGAAGTTTAATCCTCCCACATCCCATCATCATTGGTAGTCAGTGACACTTTAAGAATCCCCAGTCTCACCATTGATCTACCGATCCTCCTTTCTGCTGTGTTTGCAAATATTCAGCCTATTCACATCAGACTAAGGGGCACTTCCTCTGCTGTGAATGGGCTGAATGTTTGTGAACACTTCCAGCATTTATATTGTGATTCCTTCACAGCAATCACAAGGTACAGAGCCATATTTATTGTGAATGTGCCTATGTTTATATGTAAATTATGCCTGCGATATAAGATATGGAGTTATCTCATCCAAAACCAGCTAATGGAGATGCCTGAAGACTGGCACCTTGGGAGGAGATGCTAGCGCTAGTGAGGAACCCGGAGGGTGTGTAGAACATATTTTTTTTTCACTTTAGAACTGTTGATTTATTTGTTCTTGTTAGTCTGAACTCCGTGACCAAAAATACCACTGTTGAATTACTAGCTGCTTTAGCAAATGCTAATGACAGAAGCTGATAACAGAAGAATTAGGGGAAGAATATTTGCATATTGGTAAAACTGATTTAAAACAAAGGGTAGCCATTAATATGGGACCTATAGGTTAACAGCAGTGTATAACAAAAAGAAAAATGAAAAAGATAGCAGAGCAGATCTTTTTATTACCTGCCTGGGGTTTAGCTTTAAAGCTGAGGTCCAGCCTTAACTTCCGTCTTGCTCTGTTGTACAGTTGGCCCTCCTGTGCGCAAAATTGCTTACACTGATTTCACTGCACCCTGTGAACACCACACGTTTCCTGGCTTGAAGATGTCCAGCATTATTTATCCTTTTACTCCTCAGCTCCTCTCTCAGCTGAACTAGATGAGCCTCGGTGTCATTAGTTAACTGTAGACTACAACCTTGAGCTGAGATTCCTCTCCTCCACTCTAACAGCACCAAGGTGAGGGAGATTGCCTGGTCCACATTCAAGACCAACAGGAACACCCACTGGTTTGGAGCTAAGTCCATCACTTACTGATGAATCTGTTCCTATTTCCATAAGACTCCAGGGAGATCCAGAACTATGTTCAGGCTTGGTTGGCCAATTTGCGCTCTGCACCACTAAGCAACTGTGGCAGGATCCATGGAAATCCCAGACTCAAACCTCCATGTACAGCACTTGCCCCCGAAAGAGCCGCTGATGCATGGGTTCCCTGGTTCTAGATGACAACGACCCTTCTGGCAATGCCACACCCTCTGACACCAAGCCTAAAGAAGGAGGATTAATTTGAGGAAATAGTCCCAACAAAGGCAGCAAAAACAGAATGGTGATAGCCATTAATGATAACAGATAACAAACAGACATCACAAACAATGAAAGGAGCAAGTGTCTTTGCACCTGGATTCTGAATCTAAGGAGGTCCTAACTAAAGGGGTGGTATTGGAAGCTAAAAGGTCCCCCAGTCTCTCCAAGCCCCTCCCAGTGTAGATTTAATGTTTAGGGCCCAAAGTCCCTGCTCTGGAGCACTCAGATCTAGTTGGGTATCCACATTATATCCCAAGTTGTGGAGAGTGGCACACTTCAGAGGTCATCACTCACTTTCCCCATAAGACTACCCCGAGCTCAGGTTCTCTTTTCTTTTTCCTCTTCCTGCTGCTCTCTGTCCACCTAGGAATTGTAGTCCTATCCTGTATTAGGCTTGATAGAGACTGTCTCTTAGCGACATCCCCTATAGTTCCAAGCAGCTTCCAACAGTCTCCCAGACTGCACAGCAGCAAATCGCTGTGTCCTGGGGTGGTGGGTTTCTCACTGTGACTGCCATAGGGTCCTGCCATATCCCAACCATTGCGCTCCTCCACTGACTGGTGACCAGGAAAATGAAGAGAAACTGTTTGGGCAACTGTGGCATTCCTAATGACAGCCTTTTGGGTACATTCTGCTGTCAGCGGGGAATCCCACTGACAGCAAATGAGTCATCATTGTTAAGGGTGTGGCGAGTGCCAGAGTTAAAATATTGCATGTTTTCACTACTAAAATACTGCATCACTTCATAAAATAGCTCATGGGGACTTTTAGTAGCATTTTTTTGTGAATAGCAAAAAAATGCAAAATATTTTTAAAAAACATTATGAGCTATTTTACTGCTGCATGTACATAAGGGAGAGGGGATGCTCATAACAGATTGTAAGATTGTAAGCTCTAATGAGCAGGGCACTCTGAATCCTCCTGTATTAATTTGTATTGCAATTGTACTGTCTGCCCTTATGTTGTACAGTGCTGCATAAACAACTCAAACATAGTTTGTTAACCACTTGCCCTCCAGAGGATTTACCCCCCATCCTGACCAGGACATTTTTTGTGATATGGTGCTATGTTACTTCAATTGACAATTGGTCATGTAACGCTGCACCCAAATGAAATTTACATCCTTTTTTTCCCACAAATAGAGCTTTGTTTTGGTGGTATTTGATCACTTGTGCATTTTTTATTGTTTGCGCTATAAACAAAAAAAGATCTACAATTTTGAGGAAAAAAAACAATATTTTTGATTTTTTGCTATCAAACATGTCAGGTAAAAAAAATAAAACAATCAAATTTTGTCATAAGTTGAGGCCAAATGTATTTCGCAACATGTCTTTGCTAAAATAAAATCCCAATACGTGTAAATTAATTGGTTTAAGTGAAAGTTATAGCGTTTACAAATGGTGGTATATATACCGGGATTTTTTTTTTTTTACTAGTAGTGGCGGCGATCAGCAACTTATAGTGGGACTGCGGGATTGTGGCGGGCATTCCGACACTGGGCAGAACTGACTTGGTGTCACTGACATCCTCAGTGACACCAGTACAGTGATCAGTGCTAATTAAAAGCACTGACACTGTACTAATGGCACTGTGCAGGAAGGGTTAACATGTGGGGCAATCAAAGGGTTAACTGTGTGCTGTTTCATAGTATGCTGTGAGTGCTTTCCACTGTAAGCACACTGCTTTGTATGGCTCTGCTATGCGGAGCCATACAAAGCAGTGTGCAGGAGCTGACAGGGGAGAGATCTGTGTTGTTTATACACAGGTCTATCCCTTGTTGGAGATACTCAGCAATCACGGCGTTCCTGCAAGTAATCACCGCATCGAGGATGCGAATGGCTCCCCCCTACCTGGAACTGTAAAATCACGTATATATGCATGATTTTGCACACCCGTGCCACCCTGTAGCAGTATTTCTGCTATAGGGCGGCACAGAAGTGGTTAAAGTAGATGTAAACCTAGCCACTATAATGTCATTTAAGCTATAACAGCTGGTTATACGGATACCCTTGTTTGGGGTACTTTGTGTTATGGGGTGACAACACGCTGCCTCTTCTTCCACAAACTCCTACCTGCAAATCACCCTGTTACATACTGTACAAAGGGGAAAAATAAGCTTTTGTGCTGATACAGATTGCTCAGGAATATTACTATTTACAAAAAAATGCTTAAAGTGTTACTAAACCCAAGATCCTGCATCCAGTATATCTGGTCTCCCACAGTACTCACAACATGGAAATGCAATTATTTTAGTAAATATAAACTGATAAATACCTTTTTCTCATCAGCAGTTAGAGCAGTGGTGTGACTTCAGCAGAGCACTGGTTAAAGCTTGTAGGAGGAGTTTTCTTTCTGCTCTAAGAGAATGTGAAACGCCTTACCTCTGTCTGGACATTGCTGATTGGCCCTGTGCTGATCACATGCACTCTCCCAAGAAAAAGAAAAAACTTCTCTAGCAATACACACCAAACTGAGCATGTGCATGTGACTATGGATTCAGTTTGTATCAAGTGGTTATTTCAACAAGAGGAGGGGCATAGAAGACAGGATCAAACAGCTTTTTACACAATGCAGATGATTAACCCCTTAGGTTCCACAGTGAGTATAACAAGCATGCTTTACTGCATATACAGACTGATTTTACTGTAGTGGGTTTAGTAACACTTTATGAAAAAAAATTGCAGGCAGCAAATATCAGGAAGTATGCCCTGTAAAAATACACATGCATCCCTTTAGCAATGGGTTTACATGTGGACTCAAGGACAGGCTTTGGAAAAAAATAGACAGCAGAAAAAATATGCTATTTAAATAAAACACACATTCAGCCTGTTATGACTATAAATAATGCATGCCAGCAGAATATACTTTCCCTATCCCAACAAAGTACATTGCCAATATGGCTAATGGGAACCCTGTCTTTCTATAGTGAGGGGTAAAGCAAAGCCCCAAGCCATCGGACCTAAGTTTAGAGGCCAGTAACTGTATTCATGTGGATGGTTGCTATAGCTACATGCTGGACCTGAACCTGAAGCACATCCCTACTGATGACATCAACTGGGTCTGAAACAAGGTATGTAATGAAGATAGGAAGGTTTCATTAACCACTTCCGATCACCCTATAGCAGATATACTGCTACAGGGCGGCACGGGTGCGCCAAATCACGTTTATATACATGATTTTGCATTTCCGGGTAGGGGGTGTGCCTCAGCTGTCAATCACCGGGTCCCGGCTGGTGATTCCCCGCTGGTGCTCACCGTGTATCCCGGACAGAGGAGAGACCTGTATGTAAACAATACAGATCTCTCCACTGTCAGCTCCTGCACACTGCTTTGTATCGCTCTGCATAGCAGAGCCATACAAAGCAGTGTGCTTACAGTGAAACGCACACACATCCCCTATAATGAAACAGCACACAGTTAACCCTTTGATCGCCCCACATGTTAACCCCTTCATGCCCAGTGCCATTAGTACAGTGTCAGTGCCTTTTATTAGCACTGATTACTGTATTGGTGTCACTGGGGATGTCAATAACACCAAGTCAGTTCTCTTCAGTGTCAGAATGCCTGTTACAGTCCCACTATAAGTTGCTGATCACCACCATTACTAGTAAAAAAAAAAAAAAAAAAAAGTGGTTCTCTCGTTCTGGGAGAATGTCATGTGACGTCCTCCTATTTTAATCGCAGATGCGCGGCTCCGGGGGTGCACAGCGCGGCGATCAGTGGTGCACTGTGTCCCTCGGACACAGCGAATCACCGGTCAACAGAAAGAGCCGAAGACATCCGCTCGGTCATGTGATCAGCTGTGTCCAATCACAGCTGATCGCATGTAAATAGGGAAATGTCGGTCATTCCGCTCCTCACAAGCTGTCACGCTGACATCTCGAGAGGAGAGGAGAGCCAGTAATCAGCTTTCCGCAGAGGGGACATGTACACTGATCATCAGGACACTGATGATCAGTGTGCCCTGATGATCAGTGTAGCCCTAGCAGTGCCACCTGTCAGTGTCCATCAATGCCAGCTGTCAGTGCCCATCAGTGCCACATCAATGCCAAACATCAGTGTCTACCAGTGTCATCAATGCCACATATCAGTGCCCATCTGAGCTGCCTTTCAGTGTCACCTGTCAGTGCAAGTCAGTGCCACCTATCAATGCCAGTCAGTACCACCTATCAGTGCTGCCAATCAGTGCAACCTCACAGTACCAGTCAGTGCTGCCTATCAGTGCCAGTCAGTGCAACCTATCAGTGCGCATCAGTGCTGCCTATCAGTGCCCGTCAGTGCTACCTATCAGTGCCGCCTAACAGTGCCAGCCAATGCCGCCTATCAGTGCCAGTCAGTGCCACCTATCAATGCCACCTATCAGTGCCATATATGAGTGCTGCATTTCAGTGCCCATCAGTGTCACCTACCATTGCCTCCTCATCAGTGCCCATCAGTGCCACCTATCAGTGCCCATCAGTGCAGCCTCATTAGCGCACATCAGTGAAAGAGAAAAATCACTTATTTACAAAATTTTATAACAAAAACTAAGAAAAAACTTTTTTTTCAAAATTTTCTGTTGTTTTTGGTTTGTTTAGCAAAAAATAAAAATCCCAGAGGTGATTAAATACCACCAAAAGAAAGCCCTATCTGTCTCACAAAAAAGATAAAAATTTCATATGGGTACAGTGTTGCATGACCGCACAATTGTCATTCAAAGTTTGACAGAGCTGAAAGCTGAAATTTGGCCTGTGCAGGAAGGGGGTATAAGTGCCCGGTAGGCAAGTGGTTAATAGCAAAAAGTAAAAAATATTGTTTTTTTTTTTCTCAAAATTGTCGGTCTTTTTTTTTATAGGGTAAAAAAATCAAAAAGGCACAGGTGATTAAATACCACCAAAAGAAAGCTCAATTAGTGGGAAAAAAGTGGGTGCAGTGTTGCATGACTGCACAATTGTCAGTTAAAATTAGAGATGAGCGAAGTATTCAAAAATTCGATTCGACTGATTCGGCGAATTCATAGAAAAATTTCGATTCGAGTCGAATATATTCGCTGTGAATTTAACTTAAAAAAGGGTGTTTCTAGGCTTCAGAGAGACTTAATATTAGTGCTGAACACTGTACCTTTAATTTAAATGCCCTTGGAGTCTGCTGGGGAAGAGAAATAATACTGTCAGGCAGTATGACATGCAGATGAGTGCCGTCGATCTTAGAATCACCGCACACTTCATTCATTTGGCCAGTCACGGGGCCAAAACCAGAGTGTGGAGCCACAGTGTGGCGGTGGAGGCAGCAGCAGCAATGGGAGGCCATGCAGCACCCTATGACAAAAATGGAAACCACCAGCAGTGTGAGGAGACCTGAAAGTGGCACATGGCAGAGTGTGGCGATAGAGACAGCAGCAATGGGAGGCCGTACAGGACCCATGACACACTCTGGACCTGGCAGCAGCATGAGGAGGCGGTACAGGGGCCCATGGCAGATTACGGGCCTGGCAGCAGCATGAGGAGTCGGTAGGGGGGCCCATGGCAGATTACAGGCCTGGCAGCAGCAATGGGAGGCCGTACAGGGACCCATGACACAATCTGGACCTGGCAGCAGCATGGGGAGGCGGTACAGGGGCCATGACAGATTACGGGCCTGGCAGCAGCATTTGGAGTCGGCTACGGGGGCCCATGACACACTCTGGACCTGGCAGCAGTATGAGGAGGCGGTACAGGGGCGCATGACAGATTACGAGCCTGGCAGCAGCAACTTGGACAGGAGGACGTTCAGTTTCTGCACCGTCTGGTGCGTGCTCGCAAACTGTTGTCTCTTGGAAACGGATTCCAAGAAAGACTGCTGACGGAATCCGTGAAGAGGAGTAGCAGGAGAAGGAGCATCTGAACGAGCGGAAATATGCCAACAAGCGACAACAGGGGCCCATGACAGATTACGGGCCTGGCAGCAGCATGAGGAGTCGGTACGGGGGCCCATGGCAGATTAGGGGCCTGGCAGCAGCTATGGGAGGCCCGTAATCTGCCAGCACCCTATGACAAAAAATGGAACCCCACCAGCAGTGTGAGGAGACCTGAAAGTGGCACATGGCAGAGTGTGGCGATGGAGACAGCAGCAATGGGAGGCCGTACAGGGACCCATGACACACTCTGGACCTGGCAGCAGCATGAGGAGGCGGTATAGGGGCCCATGGCAGATTAGGGGCCTGGCAGCAGCTATGGGAGGCCCGTAATCTGCCAGCACCCTATGACAAAAAATGGAATACACCAGCAGTGTGAGGAGACCTGAAAGTGGCACATGGCAGAGTGTGGCGATGGAGACAGCAGCAATGGGAGGCCGTACAGGGACCCATGAGAGACTCTGGACTTGGCAGCAGCATGAGGAGGCGGTATAGGGGCCCATGGCAGATTAGGGGCCTGGCAGCAGCTATGGGAGGCCCGTAATCTGCCAGCACCCTATGACAAAAAATGGAACACACCAGCAGTGTGAGGAGACCTGAAAGTGGCACATTTTTGGGGCATGATTCATGGCGGATTTAGTCAGTTGTGTCAGGAACTGGTGGTTTGAAATCCAGACTAATCCACGCCTGATTCATTTTCACAAACGTCAGTCTCTCCACACTTTGGGTGGACAGTCGTGTCCTCCGCGGAGTTGCAATACCTCCTGCCGCACTAAACACGCGCTCCGATGCCACGCTACTGGCCGGGCATGACAGCCTTTCAAGGGCAAATTCAGCTAGTTGGGGCCAAAGGTCAAGTTTCGTTGCCCAGTAGTCAAGGGGATTGTCTACCTCGGTTGGCAGGGTGCTGTCCAAGTAGGCCTAAGCCTGTTGTTTGAGGTCCTGCTCCAGGTCCACCTGATGCTGCTGCTGCTGCTGCTGCTGCGGCTGGTTAGTAGTTTCCTCACTGCGCTGGTGAAGAAAGCTACTCATCATCGACTGCAGACTGAGGCAGCCGCTGCTGGTGGAGCTGCCACTGCTCCTACCACCCCACCCCTCCCCTGCTGCCATGGCAGCGGAACGCGAGCGCACAGGGCCCACAGTGTCTGAGGATGGACGTTGGCGCAGACAGGCAGAGACCAGCTGACTACATAGGTGGTTTTTATAGTACGTTATTTTGGCCTCCCTCTCAGCAGGTGTGAAAAAGGCCACCATTTTTGGAACGGTAGCGAGGGTCCAACAAGGTGGACAGCCAAAAGTCATCCCTCTGTCTGATGGTTATTATTCGGCTGTCGCTACGCAAGCAACCGAGCATGCTATGGGCCATTTGTGCCAAGGAATGCGAGGGACTCCCTGCCTCCATCTCCACAGCATACTGCCACGGTGCGTCTGGGTCCTCTGTCTCCTCCTCCTCCTCCTCCTCTACCAGATGCTCCTGCTCCTCCACTCCTGTCCGCTGAGTGGAAAAACCACCCATTTCACTCAATAATTCCTGAGCACCAATGTCCTCCTCTACCTCCTCCTCTTCTTCCTGTCCTGCCCCCACAGGGGTCATGTGGCGTTGAGATCTGTGCGCCACGTCTACCGCACCCTGACCAGCCATTGTTAACAGCATTTGTTCCAGGACGTGCAACAGAGGAATGACGTCGTTCATCCCATAGTCCTGCCGACTCACGAATAGCGTGGCCTCCTCAAAGGGCCTGAGCAAGCGCAGGTGTCACGCATGAGCTGCCAATGGCTGACATCTAAGTTACACAGGGAGTACCTTTATCCGCTTTTAACATCAGGAAATCTGTGATGGCCTTTTGCTGTTCGTAAAGGCGGTCTAACATATGTAGGGTTGAATTCCACCTTGTTGCAACGTCACAGCATGAGGAGTCGGTATAGGGGCCCATGGCAGATTAGGGGGGGCGCTGCAGCAGCAAAGGGTGAGGGCCCGTAATCTGCCAGCATCCATATTGTCTGTTGTCAAAAAAATTCTACCACACAGCAGTGTGAGGGAGCCCGTGACGAGTGGCACATGGCAGTGTGTGGGCGATGGAGACAGCAGCAAATGGGAGGACCGTTTTACAAGGGGAACCCATGGACAGGACGTCTAGGGGACCTTGCAGCAAGCATGACGGAGGCGGTTTTTAGGGAGTCCTTATGGCAGTTATTAGGGGCCTGGCAGCAAGCTCAATGGAGGCCCCATAAATATGCCAGGCAATCCCTATGTTCAAAAAAAAATTCAAACCAGTACCGACAGTTGTGTGAGGAGACCTGTAAAGTGAGGCCCACATGCCAGAGTGTGGCGATGGAGGACAGCAGCAATGGTGAGTCGGCCGTACCGGGACCCATGAGGAGACTCTCGGACCTTGGCAGCTGCATGAGGGAGGCGGTTTAGGGGCCCATGGAGATTAGGGGGTGCAGCAGCATGGAGGCCCCT